GGTGTGTGTAGAGGTGTATGTATGTGGTATGTGAATAGTATGTATGGTGTGTGGTGTGGCATGTGTGTGTGTATAGTATACATAGTATAAAGGTATGGTATATGTGGTATGTGCATATGTGGTGTGTGAGTGGTATATGTGTATGATGTGTGTGTTCTGGTATATGTGGCTGGTATGTGTATGTGTGTGGTGTGTGTGTATGGATGAGTGTATGTATGTGTGTGTGGTGTATATATGTGTGGTATGTGTATGTGGTGTATATATGTGGGGTGTGGGATGTGTGTGGTGTATATATGTGTAAGTGTGTGTGGCATATATATGTGTGTGATGTGTGTATGTATGTGTGCATAGTATTTATATGTATATGTGGTGTGTGTGTAGTGTGGATATGTCTGATGTGAGTAATGTGTGTATGGTATGTGTGAGGGTGCGTGTTGAGTGTTGTGTTGTGTACATGTGTGTTGTGTTTTGCTATATGTGTGTATATAGGTGTGGACTGTGTGTGTGTGGTATGTGTATGGTTTGCGTGTGGTGTGTGTTGGCAGTACACATCTCCCAGGACATGCTATCGTTTATTGTTGTTGAAACAATAGTAGTTGCTGGAAGTTGGCTTCCCTTGTTCAGTCCGTGAAGTGCTGAGGACCTCTGATGGTGGGACTGTCGCACTTGATATGAAGTCTGCCACAGCTGGGGGGGGGCAGTGGCAGCAGTTTATGTGGGGTGTGTTAGATCCAGCATTGCTCTCAGTACAGTTTTACAGATAAGTGTAGCCATTGCCAGGATTTAAAGGGCACTCACAGGGCCCCTAGTACTTCTTTCTCATTTATTTAAATGTATGAGCACTTGGCACCCAGACCTTTCCCTGAGTTACAGTGCGTAAGTTCCAAAATGAAAAAAACAAAGTGCTAGAATGGGTGTAACCAGGATGTGTGGGGTCTGTGAGGGCCTTGACCTCAAGCCCCATGGCTCTAGGGAAAAGCAGTTCACAGTTCATCTTGATGAAAGAGAAGCCAGAGGTAACAGAAGCCAGAGGAACGTGACAGAAGGCCAGACAGAAGCTTTTCTTGGGTTCATTCCTACCTCTAGGCACCAAGGTCTGGAGGAAGACTCGCCTGTCTCCATGCATGCCTAGAGAGCCATTATGAGGGAATGATGCCAAGGGGCAGTGGTCATTTCAAAAAATCAGGGAGAGATGAATCCAGACCTGACTGCTTCTGTCTCCCAGCAGCTGCTCTGGGATTCACAGGCAGCCTGTCATCAGGCAGCAGCCTCAATGTTCCTGTCTGCTTGTGTTTCTGCATTTTATCCCCTTTCTAAGAACTTCAGTCCTCCAAGTCCATTCCCACTGACTCAAAATGCCTTTTCATTTCTACAGTCAGTGCTTCCTCCATAACATAAATCAACACTGTGTTCTCTTAGTGGATCTATTTGCCACATACAGTGACTCAGGACCCCAGTTCTGCTAGCAATGAGGATTCCCCAACTAGAGGCTTCGAACCCGAAAGTCGTGACAAATGGGATTGAGGTTACTGGTCCAAGCTACTCCTGAATAAACACAAGTTGAGTTGTTCTGCATTCATAGCAGCATTATTTGTAATAGCCAGAACCTGGAAGCAGCCTAGATGCCCCTCAACTGAAGAATGGATAGAGAAAATGTGGTACATTTATACAATGGAGTACTACTCAGCAAAAAAATCAATGGAATCTTGAAATTTGCAGGCAAATGGATGGAACTAGAAGAAACCAACCTAAGTGAGGTAACCAGATACAAAAAGACAAACATGGGATGTACTCACTCATATATGAATTTTAGACATAGATCAAAGGATTACTAGCCTACAATCCACATCACCAAAGGAACTAGGAAACAAGGAGGACCCCAAGCGGAGAATGCATGGACCTCCGGAGAATGGGAAGGGACAGGATCTCCTGAACTAATTGGGGGGACGAAGGAGCTGGGAGAAAGAGAGGGGGAGTAGAAGAGGGGACAGGAGGAAATGGGGGAGCAGGAAGGTTGAGTCAGGAGAAGAATAGAGGAGAGCAGGATGAGAGATACCATAATAGAGGGAGCCATTATAGGTTCGAGGAGAGATCTGGCACTAGGGCAATTTTCAGAGATCTACAAGGATGACATCAACTGGCAATCTAAGCAATAGTGGTGAGGCTACCCTAAATGCTCTTCCCCTATAAGGAGACTGATGACTACCTTATATGACATCCTAGAGCCTTCATCCAGTGGCTGATGGAAGCAGAGGCAGATGCCCACTGCTGAACACTGAAGTGAACTCTGGAACCCAGTTGCAGAGAGGGAGGAGTGATGAGCAAAGAGGTCAAGACCAGGCTGGTGAAACCCACAGAAACAGCTGGCCTGAACAAGGGGAAGCACATGGACCCCAGACTGATATCGGGGAGGCCAGCATGGGACTGATCCAGACCCCTGAATGTGGATGTCAGTGAGGAGGCCTGGGCAATCTATGAGGACTCTGGTAGTGGATCAGTATTTATCCCTGGCGTAAGAAAGGACTTTGGGAACTCATCACACTGGAGGGATGCTCTCCCAGCCTGGCACATGGAAGTACTACTCAGGTCTAGGACCTTCCCAGGATGATATGACAGACTTTGGGGATCCCCCATGGAGGGCCTTACCCTCCCTGGGGAGCAGAGGGGGGATAGGGTGGGGGATTGGTGGGGATCCGGTAGGAGGGGAGGGAGAGGGAGCGGGTATTGACATGTAAAGCAGGCTTGTTTCTAATTTGAACTAATAAAAAATAATTTCTTGGATACAAAATAGAATCCTTGTGACTCTAAGCCCTGTCCAGAAAAGATCCTGCCCATCCACATGGTGGCTTCCTGAGAGCATCTAGCACATTCTATAGTCTGGATGAATCTTGGTGAGCACCCAGACATACCATGTGTGGTGGCAGAGACCTGCACTCTTCCAGGATCCCCACAAACAGGAGATTAAAAGGCAGAAGATGAATGGCCTTTGCCTCAGAAACAGCTGCTGCTGCTCCAGCATCTGCATGGCCAGTTGATTTAGAGATTTGTGAAGAGAGCCTCGGAGCCCCAGGCTCCTGCCAAGTGGCTCACCAGGAGCATCCCCGTGGCAGAAATTATCGCTCCACACCAGGTGCTGCAGGACAAATGCCTTGGAGCTGGAAGATGAAATACACCTGCTACTGGAGGAACCTGCAGATGAGACCTGGGCACAGCCCTGAATAGGAAGGTCATCCTGCCCTGAATGTCATGAATAGTGACTCAGAGATAAGTGAGTAGCACTCATCAAAAACTGTTCCAGAGGGAGGTGCCAGGGCCCTGCTTTTGATGAAAGACCCTGATGCTATTGCTGATTCTCTATTATTGATGTCACTATGCCCAGAGATGCAGGTGGGTACCAGTCAATCCAAACAATATAAAACTAAAACCACGACCTCCTAACTATGAATGATAGCAGGATCCATTCCCCTAAGCAAGGCTGTGCAGATATTTTAAGTACTACCTCACCACCACCTCCCCACCAATAAAAAATAATGTGCTAGGAGTTGGGGAAATATCTCAAAGGGGAAAATGCTTGCCTCACAAGAACAAGGGACTGAATGTGACCCTCAGGACTGACTAAAAGAGCCAGGTGTAGGGTGCATGTACTCTACAGGGCTGGGGAAGTTGAGACAGGAGGATCATTGGCGCTCACTCGCCAGCCAGCCTTGCCTAGTCAGGAACTCTAGGTCCCAGTGAGAGACCCTGTCTCAAAAAACAAAGTGGGAGTCTCTTGCGGATCATTGACCTCCAGGCTCCAAATGTGTGTACATGAACTCCATCACACAGGTGAATATGCACACACACACACACACACACACACACACACACACACACACACACACACACACACACGCACACACACGCACGTCCACATACTTGCATGTGTAGGCACATACACAAACCAGTGTTCTGAAAAATCTGGTATGATCAAATACATTTGAGAAACTCTGGGTTGAAACGCAGACCTTGTCTCTTTGTGCAAGGCTGCTTGACGCTTTCACTATGCTGAAATTTTACTGTGCACTGGAATTTTCCAAAGGGGAAGAATGCACACAGCAATATTTGAGCACAAGGACCGCTTTACCAGAAGTACCTATTAAGGCAAGTGTTCCTCTAATCACACTTTGGGAAATGCTTCCTCAGGCTAACATTAGAATGGTTTGCATTCTCTGAGACCAAATGATGCTTGGGGAAAGAGCCCAGGAGGATGCTGAGGACTGGATTTTAAAAGTGCCACAGGAGGGTTAGGAAGGCGAAGGGAGGAGGGAGAACTCATCAGCCCAGGGCAGGAGGGGGACGCCGATGCTCCTGCCTTGCCTTTGCTGACTCCAGAGCTTCTGACTGAGGGATTCTGCTCTGTTGGAAGGACTTTGCCTCCAAAGTTGCAAACAGGGCGTTTGCTTGAGACTCGGTTGGTGCTATGTAATGCTAAGGGGAAGAAAAACTGAACAAATGGCCAAAGATTCCTGTCTTGAAGGCAAGGGTGGTTAGCGGAATCTAAATGCACCAAATATTTCCCTTAATGTGTGAAGTTTGGGACTAGATAGATGGCTCAGTAGATAAAAGTGATGGGCATACAAGTGTGAGAACCTAAGTTTGAATCCCCAGAAGCACATAAAGTCAGATGTGGGAGAGTGTATTTGTAATTCCCGTATAGGAGAGCCCCTGGGAGTTCCCAAGCCAGCTAGTCTGGTCTACACATGAGGATTGATAAGAGGACTGCTCGAGGTGAAAGGTAAGGACTGGTGTCTGAGGTTTTTCTCTGACCTCTACTCAGGTGCTATGACACATGCATGCCCCCCACACACTAATATGCACACAATCATGATAGAGAAATGAGAGGAGAGGAGAGGCGAGGAGAGGAGAGGAGAGGAGAGGCGAGGGGGG